CAGGCATATTGTAACTAGGCTTTTTTTGTGGCATTGGTGCAATAAAGGCTTCTTTCTGGCAACTTGAACATGCAGCTCATTTTTGTTTAAGTATCATTGAATTGTGCTCATTGAAACAACCACACTGTCTTTTTCCTGAGCAACCTCTGTTTCTCCTGAGGTTACATGTGAGTTTCTTTGTATCCCTAACAATTTTTCTGGCAGCTGTGGATGCAATATTTCTTGTTCTACCTGACCTTGGCTCGGTATCAAGCAATCCCTGAATTTTCCATTTCTTAATAAGTGATTGAACAGTACTGACTGGCATATTCAAGGCTTTGGATATCTTTTTATATTCCTTTTCATCTTTATAAAGTTCCATTACCTTGTTACGCAGGTCGTTTGACAGTTCTTTTCTGCTCCCCATGGCTCAGTATCTAGCTTCCACAGTTCATCCACGTAATAACTAACAAACTCATTGACTATTTATAAACAGACACAAATTGCATTTTAAAAAGCCACAGATTTAAGAAATGAACTTTTTTTGCCATTTTAACCTGTGTGTGTCACCTTGTCTGTCTATGCCAAGACCAAACATTCCAGGGTATGGAAACTTTTGATCATGGCCATTTGGGTGATTTTTGTTATAATTATGATTTAAAAAGGAGCCAAACAACTCTGTGATAATAAATGGATCCATATGATCACTATCCTTAAATAAAAGACATTTTTTGGCATGATCAGTCATATTTCCCTTATCAATGCCACAATTTCATGATTTCTGTCAGGGTAGACAAACTTTTGAGAACAACTGTACAGTAGTTGTAAGTAGATCTAATGATGGCCATACATGCTTTGATTTTATTATCTGATCGATTTGCAATTCATTAAAATGATCAAACTGGCAAACAACTGAATAGGCATAGCTTCGTTTCTGATTGATTCAGACTCAATTTAGACTGAATGTGATCAAACTAAGTCCATCACCCAGGGCAGTAAATGATCATGTTGCATCTATCGGTAGCACTGAGATGCTTTTGTTCATGGATTTGATCGTATTTTGAACAATTAGATTATGAGATTGCATGGTGAAAATAAAGATGTAATCAATAACCTATGACCATATCTTCCAATTATCGATCAAAATCTAGTTCCGTGTGTCATATCAATTGATTGGGTTCTTGACTATAGCCCAATTATTTCAATCGGGAGAGGTTGATTGGAAAAGAAATTGATCTTTTGATTGATGCATGTCCAGCCACCATAAATCAGATTGTAGAATAAACTGCAATATATTATTTTTTTTTTTTGCTCCTTGGTTTAGATACACTTTAACGCCCATCCTTTGTTAAAAGTTACATTTTGCTATGCCTTGTTAAAGACATAAGTGTGACCCCCAACGTTAGTAAATCTGACTCTACACTATAGAAAATCATCATTATCAGAAAATCTGTCTTCACTTTAGAGAAAGCATCATCGTTAGTAAATCTGACTCCATCATTATTAGTAAATCTGACTCTGCTCTATAGAAATCACCATCATCAGTAAATCTGACTTCATTTATAGAAATCCCTTCCTTGGCAGAAAATTCTGCTCCCCACTATGTCCCCTTAACCCAGGGGCGGACTGACCATTTAGCCACTTGGGCACTGCCCGAGGGGCCCGGGGTCAGTAGGGGGCCCCATGAGATGCCCCTGGTACCTTTCATAGCTTTTTTTGGGTGTGGTTTGAGTGTGGGCGAGGACACAGGGGCCCATGATTTCCTATTGCCCGAAGGCCCCATGAGTTGTCAGTCCGCCTCTGCCTTAAGTCAGTAGGGGGCCCCATGAGATGCCCCTGGTACCTTTCATAGGCTTTTTTGGGTGTGGTTTGAGTGTGGGCAAGGACACAGGGGCCCCATGATTTCCTATTGCCCGGAGGCCCCATGAGTTGTCAGTCCGCCCCTGCCTTAAACCCTTCCAACCCAATCCTGATGTCCCTTTAACTGGGTCCTTATTCCTCCTCATGTGACTCCTGATTGTCTGAGGATCAGGAGACAGTCCCACCAGCTCCCAATCATTACTAGAGTCCATCTGACAGCTTGGTCACCATGCTGGGAGTGCGCAGTGCGCACCTCTCAGCACAGAAACCTCTGCCACCTATGGATGGATGGATGTGGCATGTATACATTAAAGCTCACCCCCTTCACCAATAGAAGAGATAAATTCGAGACATGTGCAATGTTAATAAGGTTCTCGCAATTCTACATGAAAAGCTCTTTAAATTGATCCTTGTTGACCATGAAAAGGCTTCTTGTGACTTCTACAGCATTCCATCTGTGACCTGTCCCATGGCCAGCTTGACCTATGCCCATCTCCAAATGTCATCTGTCCTTTCTAGGTCCCAAAGTCTTATCTTGTGTGACAATTTTGACAATCCTTCCTGTCGGTGATCTCTGTTCTCACTTTGGTCTAAAAGTACATCCTTGGCAGGGCTGTGGCTGCATTCAGTGTGTATGAATTTTAATAGAAAGATCTGCTAGTGTTTATTTTCTAAAGAGCTTCAAAGAGCCTTTATTGAAATTATTACTCATGTTCCCCCCAAGGGGGACACTATGTAGACGAGTTACTGCAATAACATGTTTCCTTCCCAGATCCCTGGTATTAAAGCCTCCTGAAACATAGAGAGTTGCGGTGGCACTTCATAAATAACTAAAATATATTTAAAACATAACATTTTCGGTTGCAGAGCATAATAAAGGCATACGTGACTGCACAAATCAGAAAAAATATATCTGAACAAAGACTATTATGACATCACAGTGTGCTAAATGAACTTTCTGATTCTGTTCTACATTTTTAAAGGTAATACTAAACTGCGAGAATATGGAGGCTGCAATTGACCTCCCCTTCTCCTAAAAAATGCCAGTGTTCTGGCTGTTATGGTGATTAAATGACTTCCCTTAAGCAAGTATGTAGATTAGATTCAGATTTGCTAATCTGCATGCCTCAAATAGCAAGTATTGAAGTCAAAATAGGACAACCATAGGTGTGCACAGCCTATTGCATTAGGGTGTGCACCCCAAAGCTCAAACACACACGTGTGTGTGTGTGTGTATATATATATATATATATACACACACACACACACACACACACACTTTTATGGCAGGGTCGGTAATGGGAGATATTTCCTATCTCCCCGCTGGCACACATAGTGATAATGCTAATGTACACAGGGTGATTAGAGTGTGCCAAGGCACACCTGGCGCACCCCTATGCAGGCAACTGTTATATTAAAATGACGCCAGCAATGCAAAACCTGCATGGACTCACTGACACATGCAGATTTAGAATTTATGGGGGAGTCTCTTTCTTTAAAGCATATCTAAACCTGAAAAAAAAAATTGCAGCTTTCCAGTCTTTAGATGTGGTGGCTGCATTAGTTTTATATTTAAGGCTTTTTTCCTTTATTTTCACCTGGTGATCTTGTAAGTAACACACTTCCTGCTGCTTGTTGGCTACGCTTACTTCTCAACTGAATCCATGGAGGAAGCCACCAGATCTAAACTATGGTAGGCTGCAATATATTACATTTATTGGGTTTAGTTATATTTAATGCTTTTCTCCTGCTTCTCTTTCTAAAGCTGTGCTTTTCATATACACTGTATTATTGAACTGCATTCCCGTTTTTTATAAAGGGGTCTCTTTGCAGAGGTCTGACGAACCCTGAGTCAGAGCTGGGGCTCTTCAATTAGCTACGAGGGTGACAGAGCTTGCTAGGGCTTTATAGCTTTGCAATAAGGGGACGTAACTACCGTTAGGCCCCATTTACACAGGACACTTCTGAATGATGGAAACTGACTGCTGCTAGGAAAACGCCTGTTTAGCCGCGTTTGCATACCGCGTTTATGCGCACTTTGAGCATTTTTGTTTAAAACCGTTTTTTAAAGATAACCTCAGGAGACCTTCCAAAATGCCCAGAATGTACTGAAAAACTGTAAGAAATTAACTATTTCAGACATTTTGAGAGAAATAGAGAGAGCAGAAGCAGAGAGAGCAGTATTTGTTGAGATTAGCTGTTTTCTTTTTGTTTTTTTTGTGGTGTTTGGATGTGTTCCAGCTCATTTCTGTGCAGAAATTATTGCAGCAGTGTCTAACATATTTTTTTTCATGCAAAAGTATGGTGTGCTTAGTCCATTTGAGTACCAGGAAAACGCTTTGCATGCATTTTTCATGATGAAAAAAGGCTCTGGACAGCATCTGGAAATGGAAGAGTTAAAAAAAATTTCAAACACAAACGCCTATAAATGCGGTTAGCTGCGCTTACAAGCGTTTTGTGTTTGAAACGCTGATAAAATCGACTGCTGAACGCAAGTTTTCTGCGTTCAAAAAAACGACTGTAAACTCAACTGCCTGTAAACAACTCTAAATGACATAGTGTACATGGACACATAGGAAAACATTAGGGTGAGTTCAGGGGCTGCTGAAGAAAACACTGAACATCTCCTAAACGTGATTTTATCAGCTGCCGTGTACATGAGCCCTTACAGTACCAGATTACTGCTGTTGAGGTCAGCCCAAGGTTGTTGACATGAGAGGTGATTCAAGTTTTCAGTGCTGACAGATCTGTGGCAGTATCTTCAGCACTTAGCTGTCAACACAAGTATTCCGGATGAAATGTCTGAAACAGAAGTTGCCACACTGTAACATTCAAGTCCAGATGTACAGTAAGTTTATTATAAAGATGGATTGTTACCAGGATCCAGCGCGTTCCGGGGGGCTTAGCTCTGCCTCCTTCATTAGGGAACCATGTACACGCACACTGAGATCAATAAATAATCGGGAGTTATGATGGGGGCTGAATTCCCGCAGCATTCATTAGCAGCAACTTACGGTATATCTGGACTTGAACAATAAGGTGTGGCACTTCTATTTTAATCTTTTTCATCCTCATTACAACCCAAGGAAATCTTGGAAATCCTACAGGTTCAGCGGGTTCCAGTGCCTCTTACCCAGTGTTTCTCAACTTTTTTCCAGTTAAGGCACCATTTAAAATTATGGATAGTCCCGAGGCACCCTTTAAAATTATGGAGAGTCCAGAGGCACCCTTTAAAATTATGGACAGTCCCGAGGCACCCTTTAAAATTATGGACCCTTTAAAATTATGGACAACCCTTTAAAATTATGGACAGTCCCGAGGCACCCTTTAAAATTATGGACAGTCCCGAGGCACCCTTTAACCTCCCTAGCGGTATGATTATTTCAGATTTTTGGTGCTGAAAGCGGTACCATTATTTTGCATTAAAATATGTTGTTTTTTTATTGTAGGCTGTAATTTTTAGGAATAACTCACTGAAATCTGTCCAGAACAAGAGTCTATTAAACATCCCGGGTAGGATAAAATTTGAAACACGAAATCATAAATTATAATTTATTAAATAATCATAAAAAATAATAATATAATAATAATAAATTTAATTCAATAATATAATCAAACCAAAAACACTGAAATTTGAAATATAGCGCCAAGTTCGCACATTGCTGAGCAAAGTCGCAAATCGTTTTCAGTGTCTGATGAGGAATTTCTCCACGAATCATTATCACTCAATTCTGCAAGTGGTTCTGATTTACTATCGCTGATCTCTAGCTGGTTCTAAAACTCGCTTTTGACCTAAAGGGACGCTTTTTGGACGCCATGGACGTTTCTCAGTTTCCAGGCAGAAAGAACAGACAAAATGCAGGCAGGGACAGGACAAAGCAGTAGGGACAAAATGTATGTGAAATGGGTTTGAAACAGCAATGTTTTACTATGAAAAATGTGTTTTGAAAAAAATGACTTTTTTTTAAATTTTAAAATTTCCTGCCGCTGGCAGCGCCCGTACGTCCCGACATCACAGTGACCGGAACACAGAAGCCGAATGCCGGCATTGGCCGGAGGAGATGGCCGGGGACGCCGCAGGGGACACATCGCAGGAGTGCAGGACAAGGTAAGCTCTGCAGGGACTCCCTATGCAGCGCCGCATGGTAAGCCCAAGTGTAGCTCGGGGTTACCGCTTTTGGCACTGACATTTTACTCCGAGCTACACTCGGGAAGTACCCTTTAAAATTATGGGAGGCACCCTTTAAAATTATGGAGAGTCCCGATGCACCCTTTAAAATTATGGAGAGTCCCGAGGCACCCTTTAAAATTATGGACAGTCCCGAGGCACCCTTTAAAATTATGGAGAGTCCCGAGGCACCCTTTAAAATTATGGACACAGTCCCGAGGCACCCTTTAAAATTATGGACAGTCCCGAGGCACCCTTTAAAGTTATGGACAGTCCCGAGGCACCCTTTAAAATTATGGACAATCCCGAGGCACCCTTTGAAATTATGGACAGTCCCGAGGGCACCTCATTCTAAAACGTGAAAACTATTCTAATAGTTTCATATAACGCAGCAACATCCACACATGTAGGACACCCAACATTAGAGATGATTTATTCTTCCAAAGCAAATACACTTTTGCATACCGGTACTGACTAGTATTCCAGTGTTTCTCCTCTCCCTCAGTTTTTCTCCATTACTGAGCCAATGTGACCCCAGCACTGATGGAGAGGGGCAGGGGAGGGTCAAACTAGGATGCTGTGCAGGCAGCTGAAAACATCCTTATGAACTGAAGATGTAATTTTGCCAAGGCACCCCTGAAGAAACCTCAAGGCACCCCAGGGTGCCTGGGCACTCCAGTTGATAAAAGCTGCTCTAACCTACCCTTTCAAACACAAATGTTTGGCACTGCTGCTGTAGGTACGGACAAATTATAAACAGAAAGAGAACCCTGGCTTGTGGACTTAAAGTGTTACTAAACCCACAACAGTAAAATCAGTCTGTATTTTCAGTAAAGCATGCTTGTTATACTTACTGTGGAACCTGAGGGGTTAATCCTCTGCATTGTGTAAAAAGGCTGTTTGATCCTGTCTTCTCTGCTCCTCCCCTTTTTCAAGTGACCACCACTTATCTCCAGACTGAACCGTAGACATGCACATGCTCAGTTTGGTGTATATTGCTAGAGAGGGTTTTTTTTTCTTGGGAGAGTGCATGTGACCAGCACAGGGTCAATCAGCACTGTCCAGACAGAGGTCAGGGGTTTTGCATCCTCCTAGAGCAGAAAGAAAACTCATCCTACAAGCTTTAGCTAGTGCAGGGCTGGACACTGATAGAAGCCACAAGACTGCTCTAACTGCTGATGAGAAAAGGTATTTAGCAGTTTATATTTACTAAAATTGCATTTCCATGTTCTGTGTACTGTGGGAGACCTGATATAATGGATGCAGGGTCCTAGGTTTAACATTTTAACATAGATCTATGAATATTAACAATGTCAAATTTATTAATCAAAAGGTGTATAATATAAATAAACAGACCTTTTATAGTGAATAAGCTCCAGTTATACTTTTTTGATCGGTGAATTTGGCATTGATAATATTCTGAGATATCTATGGTCTATAGAAGTTCAAAAGTCAGGGTTCTCTTTTTGAGGTATGTGGATTATCGGTACCGAGAATTCCTTTGAGGAGCACCTTTGAGGGGTTTGAATTGGCACCAAGTGGAATATGAAGGTACTATACATATACAGAACATGAGCTTAGTCCAATAGTTGGGATAAATGTGGGGGTTAGATTTGGTTAGTGTTAACAATCGGAAAGGTTAGAGCAGACCTTCACCGTTTGCTTTCACAAATTCCACATCCCTGTTACAAAATCAGATATTAACTTTTTTCTTTAGGGAGTGAGGAGTTAGGTGGCTTTTCTGAGGGACCTGAACTTCCTGCTTTTTCTCATAGGATGATGTCACTTCTCACCAGCCCAAAGCTTCGGCCTCCTGAGATACCTACATCATCTGTCTCAGGAGGCTTTGGGTCAATCTCTTCAGGGGCCAGTTTAAAGAAGTAGGAAGAGACAGCCGGCCTCCTGATGACGTCAGATGAGAAGATAGCTCCACGGAAACCGGAGTGCTGAGATAAAGTGGTGACTTACACAAGACAATGGTGCATTTGTTGGGTGGGTGAGTATGTTTTTTTGTGGACAACACAGCAGACAAAATAGGAGGGTAAAAAAAAAAATTGTAAAGGTGGAGGGTGGAGATCCTTTAGTATCAGGGATGCTTTATAACATAGGGTTACCTAGAGATGCTGCAGCATATTGGGGTAATATCAGGAAAAGAGTGTATGTTTATGCAGAGTATGTGGACCACTGCACACACCATGGCTAAATGATCCCAAGAAAAAAAAAAAGAACAATGATCCGCCATATTTTTCCAATACATTGTTTCCCTGGTATCCTTGGTGTCTGTTCAATGCATAAACATGCTTACTTGGCCGAACCCATCGTGAGTGTTTATGCCACAACAGAATGCTCTCCAGTGTTCAGATCTTCCAAGTGCCATCTCATGTCTTTGAATAATAAGGTCATAAAACCACAATATATTCACAGGCAAGATATCGAACAATTCTTGAAATATTTACAGACAATACAGGATATGACACAATGGGATGTGGGACAGGTAATTCAAATTTTTACTATGATGGAAATCTCAGATCATCTCTGTGAATGCTTTGTAAGTATTTGCCATAGCACGTATCTATGCTTACAATCATTTAAAGCAACAGTTACCAAACTTTTTACCCCAGAGAAACTCTTGAAATCATTATCAGGTCTCTGGGAACCCTTGGTAAAAACAGGAAGCAGGAAGAATGCCCCTTACCTTGGTGGTCAGTGGGAAGAATGCCCCCCACATTGGTGGTCAGTTGGAAGAATGCCCCCTACATTCATGGTCCGAGGGGAGAATGCCTTTTACATAGGTGGTCAGTGGACAGAATGCCACCTACATTGGGTCAGTGGGTAGAAATGCCCCCTACATTGATGGTCAGTGGGAAGACTGTCTCCTACATTGACAGTCAGAGGGAAGAATGTCTCCTACATTGACAGTCAGAGGGAAGAATGTCTCCTACATTGACAGTCAGTGGGGAGAATGCCCCCTACATTGACGGTCAGTGGGGAGAATGCCCCCTACATTGATGGTCAGTGGGGAGAATGCCCCCTACATTGATGATCAGTGGGAAGAATGACCCTATGTTAATGATCAGTGGGAATAATGCCCCCTACGTTAATGGTCAGTAGGAAGAATGCCACCTACATTGGTGGTCAGTGGGAAGAATGCCCCCTACATTGATGGTCAATGAGAAGAATGCCACCTACATTGGTGGTCAGTGGGAAGAATGCTCCCTTACAGTGGTGATCCAGAATACCATCTTTACAGATAGCTAAAAGATTATTGGGTTCATGCAACTGGCTCTGCTAAGCAGCATTGGCCCCAGAACTATTCAGACACCATCTAATAGGAGGTCAATAAGCCACAACTCACGGAACCCCTAATAACTTCTGGAGGAACCCTGGCTGAAAATAGCTAATTTACAGAATCATCCAGTTAAATTGCTGTATATAAAATCTACTGAATTCTCTAGTGTTCAGACAAGCAGTGCTAAGAGGTATCAGTACATTTCTGCCACTACTGTACCTTAAAACTTTCTGATATTAAAAAGGAACACTTTCTAGAGCAAACATACTTTTAGGGCTCAATAACACTTGTGTGTTCTGCATGTGCTAAGAATTGCCACAAAGCATGGCAACTTACCTGTTCTATGTGTGCTACATTGTGGTGCCATTTATTCTAAAAGGCACCTCAATACATTGAACAGTAGGTCCCAGAAGACTGTGGAACCATTCATAAAGGGCAGTGTGGCTTGCACATGCGCAGTAGGAAACTGTATGTGAAGCAAAAAGGCTTAACTGCCAGTTTCCCTCATCTAGGATGCCAGCGCCTAGACCCAAAGCTGATTGAAGAATCTGTTCCGGTGAGGACATTGCTGGATCCCTGGACCAGTAAGTGCCTTATATTAAAAGTTGGCAGCTACCGTATTTGAGGCTGCTGACTTATTTTTCTAGGGGGGAGACTGGAGCTCCTCTTTAAGTGTGAATGGTCCCTTAAGACAGAAGTTACATAACTGCCAGTCCAACCTCTACTGTCTGCTACTGAAAAAGCTTCACCAACAGACACTTTTCATGTATTTACAGAGATCTACTATGCTTGCCATCAGAAAACATGTGCAACGATAAAAAAAAAGTAAAAAACCCAAAACATAATTGTGCTGCATAGCAACCAGAATCTGAAAAGGTTTCCATTTGAAAGGTCACACTGCTTTTACTGAACTCTATAAAATAAGCGACGCAACTCATGAAAAGTTAGAAGCGATAGCAAAAGCTTTCGGTAGTCAAATGTTACACTTTATTTTACAGATCTATACATAAGCTGTAAAAGAAAAGAAGGTCAGAAGGACTTTAAGCAGTGCTGTTACTAGTGATGTACTGTATATAGCATAGATTGTGTGCAGAGAACGCGTTATGTTTATATCATATATTATGTATAGAGGACATATGTATATAGCGTAGATTGTGTGCAGAGAACGCGTTATGTTTATATCATATATTATGTATAGAGGACATATGTATATAGCGTAGATTGTGTGCAGAGAACATGGTATGTTTATAGCATATATTATGTATAGAGGACATATGTATATAGCATAGATTATGTGCAGAGAACACGGTATGTTTATAGCATATATTATGTATAGAGGACGTATGTATATATCGTAGATTGTGTGCAGAGAACACGTTATGTTTATAGCAAATATTATGTATAGAGGACATATGTATATATCGTAGATTGTGTGCAGAGAACGCGTTATGTTTATAGCATATATTATGTATAGAGGACATATGTATATAGCGTAGATTGTGTGCAGAGAACGCGTTATGTTTATAGCATATATTATGTATAGAGGACATAGGTATATAGCGTAGATTGTGTGTAGAGAACGCATTATGTTTATAGCATATATGGGCAGCACAGAGGCTAAATGGATAGCACTTCCGCCTGGCAGTACTACGGTCGTTGGTTCGAATCCCAGCCACGGCACCTCCTGCCTGGAGTTTGCATGTTCTCCCTGTGCCTGCGTGGGTTTCCTCCGGTACTCTGGTTTCCTCCCACACTCCAGACATGCTGGTAGGTGAATTGGCTCCTGTCTAAATTGGCCCTAGTATGTGTATATATGAATGTGAGTTAGGGACCTTAGATTGTACACCCCTTGAGGGTTAGGGACTGATGTGAATGTACAAAATATATATATGTAAAGTGCTGTGTAAATTGACGGCGCTATATAAGTACCTGAAATAAATAAATAAATATTATGTATAGAGGACGTATGTATATAGCGTAGATGATGTGCAGAGAACACAGTATGTTTATAGCATATATTA